GTTGAAAAACATTGTTATTGGACAAATGATTCTCCACAAAGGAAGCATTTATTAAATTCTCACTTCCATCGGAGCATTCTTCGGGATAAACAGCATTTTCCATCATTTTTGTAAGATTAAATGTGCGCTTTTGTTGTCTTGTTAAATTGAGGCTAGTGTTCATGGTCATATTTGAGACATTCGATTGTTGTGTACAATTTATGGTTTGATCAGTTAATTGAGTGGTTTCCAATATGGAATTCTCTAACGCTATTAGTTTACTAACTAAGGCAGTACGATAGAATACTTCGCTTTCAGTGGGATATGCAATGGGACGCTCTTGTGTTGGTGGGACTTCAAGGGCAGGAATCTGCAAACAAGATATTGCATTTTAAAACAAATAATTGTATTTTAATCTTATCACATTACCCCTTTCAATTTCTCTTCATCATCCTTAAAAGTCTCCAACAATTTTTCTCTACGTAACTTCTCATCGTTCCAAATAGATTCTATTCCCGGATTGGAATGTAAGGAATTTTTGCCTTTTGTAACTAGCTGAAAACGATTCAAAATAAAACTTGAACCAATGTCACATTCAAGACTACAGCATGAAATCTTTTTGGCAATATCACAGTCTAAAAGCTGAGCCTCACTGATTGCCTTAACCGCTACACTTTCAGAATTGTCTGATCGACGAAATTTTACAACTTCCAATGGAACATGAATCATACTCATGCCATATAGATTATAATCAATCATAAATTGTAAAATATATGGTACGTGAGCTTCATGTGGATGGAAATGTTTGTTCATAATGGCTCCATTTTGTAATAGATTAGCTGCTCGCCGCACAAAACGTGGATTAAACATGTGAATCTTTAGGTATTGATGCTCTGAACGATGATAGCCATAAAATGGTCTGTATAAATGTAACAATTTATAAAAATTACCAAAGATATTATAAAAAATAATTAGTACTTACATGCCCTTAACCAATTGCACCTTGAAAACATGCTGCACATTCGAGCTCCCTTGGCTCAGAGATATATTTATGGCCTTATCCAAATTCATTGCTATTTGATATATTGCCTTATTAACCGACTCGAAATCTTTTTGGTCATAGGGCACATAGAAGTAGGGGAATACGCCATGGACATGCATACAAGTCTTTTGACCCTGGGCATTTGAACCAAATATGCGTATAATGGGAACCTATGGGCGGAGAAGGACAAATAATACTTTTAAATTATGACACGCTTTTTCCGAATCATATCAAGGACTTGTTTGGGTATATTTAGGTGCAGGATGAACCAAAATCTCAACCGGCCTTAAAAATATTATGGTAAAAACTGAAATACATTGGAACACACAAATACATAGTTTCTAGAATTTACAGTTTCTAGAAAGGATTGCTCCTCATTTCTCCCAAGTCACACTGCTATTCCTACCAACCTTTTTGATTTCTTTGCCGCGAAATTCCGAATAGACAGGATCCAAGCCAGGCACTGGTTTCTCCATGTAAAAGTCGGCAATAACCAGACGTAGTGAGAATATTCCATCATTTGTAGACATATTCATTCAATATTTAGATTAACAAAATAATAAAATTGTGAAATTAATCGAAGACATGGTCTAAAACATGAGAAACAATCAGTGTTTATTTACATTGCTTCTTCTTGGCGCCCAAAGAAAAATATGGCATTCTACATGAATTGATAGCAAATTAATAACAGCTGGTTCAATAAAAGGTATCTAAAGACGAAATATATTACTCAAAGCACCATTCACATGAGGAAAGTCTAAATATTATATATAGAAAGCATATATTTCGTTTTAATGTTTCTTGGTTTTCGAAGCCTACTTGATGGCACTTGGGAACCGGTTACAAAGTACCTAATACTAAGTTTTAAGTTGTAAAAGGAAAACCCCAGTCCGTCTAAATTGTAAATTCCACTGCTTATACTTCAAATAAAACATCATAAAGAAGGTTAACCCAGGAAACACTCTTAGACAGACCTAAACCTTAAGTTCATCATGCTGGCAATATTTCTCTTTCACCAAAAATCGTATGAGTTTTTGGCAGTGTTGTCATATTTATTTCATGGAATTACCCGTGTGTCGACCCAACTTACTTTCATGAAATAATTTGTGTATTTACAGAGTCTTGACGTATTTATGTCAGTGATAGAACCTCATTTATGATAAGTAAGTTTAATTGTGGGAAGTCTCTGTTTTTAAGACAAAGGGGTAAATATGGGAATGCATAAAGCGCTTATTTGACTGGCTTAAGTCTTAGGCAGGCTTCTTCATAGAGGAATAAAAGAGTTTTAGGTTAACTTAGTTCGATTTAGGTTAACTTAGTTCCTTTGTTCATTTCCGAAGAAGCCAGCCGATGGCTCAAGCCAGCCAAATAAACGTTTTATGTATTCCCACCCTAAAGGAAATAAAAATATTGTAAAATAATACAGGTAACAGCAAGTGTTTTGTATAACGTAACAACAACCACATACACATTTGTTTTTGTACGTAATAAAAGTGTCAGATTTATATGTCCAAAAATGTAAACAAAGGAATTAATTTTTAATAAATTATTTTAATTTCAAAAATATACACTTTGGAAATTTCGACATATTTAAAAGTCATAGTGTCAATATAATGCCGGTTATTACATCTTTCCGATAGATTAAATAATGATGTTGTCGGACACATAAATCGTTTTTCGTTATTACAAGTCTCATTTAAATAAAAACTGTCCGATAAGCAAAGGGCTAGACCATCTTCCCTTTATCTTTTAAAGTAAAGTTTACTGAATTCATGTTGCCATATTTTATATTGATAATATGACAATAACAACAAAATATATTTAAATAAAGAAATGGATAACGCAAATCATTTATTTAATATTGAGGAACTGAATTATAAATTTATTTCACGAAATTAATAACAATTTCGTTTTGTTTATTATTTTCAACCTAAAACGAAGATGCCATTGTGAAAAAAATGCTGTGACTACCTGTTACTTTTACAAAAAGCGTGCCATATCTCTGTAAGAAATGCATATCGGATAACGTGAAAGTGGACAATAAAGGACTTTCTGGTTGATCCATGTGTATACCTATTGAAAATTATTATTAGAAATTAATTAAATCATGAAACGTCACATCGAATTTGACCCAAATATTACTATAAGCCCAATTCTCACGAGAGTAATTTTTAGTCCAAACAAAATGTTTATTTCCAAAACACACAAGGCTAATGAAACTGTCTTAAATTGAATACGTATCCACAGCTTCGTGTGTTAGTATTTTTATACCCTCCACCATAGTATATACCATGGTGGGTCCATGTGGACCCACGTTTTGGTATAGCCCCCCATATAATAGTACCTCCCTATTTTCGGTATTTTGATGATTTAAGCGACAGTATTCACCGGAATTGTTTCAAATTTGGTATTTAAAGTTCGTAATGGATGCTACAGCGTATGACAGAAAATTGTTTGTACAAATCCACGTCTTCATATAGCCCCCCATATAGTGGTACCTCCCGATATTCGGTATTTTTGTAATTTAAGCTACATTATTCACCGAAAATGTTTCAAATTTGGGTTTTGAAGTTCGTAACGGATGCTACAGCCTATGACAAAAAATTATCTGTGCAGATCCACGTCTTCGTATAGCCCTCATATAACACTACCTCCCGATATTCGGTATTTTGATGACTTTAGCGACATTATTCCCCGGCATTGTTTCAAATTTGGTATTTGAAGCCTATGACAGAAAATTGTCTGTGCAGGTCCAAGTCTTCGTATAGCCCCCACATAACGATAGCCCCCGATATTCGGTATTTTGATGATTTTGGCGACATTATTCACCGGAATTGTTTCCAATTAGGTGTTTGAAGTTCGTAATGAATACTACAGCCTAAGACAGAAAATTGTCTGTGCAGGTCCACTTCTTCGTATATCCCCCTCATAACGGTACCTCCCTATATTCGGAATTTTGATGATTTTAGCTACATTATTTACCGAATTTTTTTATTCAAGTTTCGAATTTGAATATTGTAATGGTTTATGACAAAAGTTGCCTATGCAGGTCCACGTCGTCGACCCTAATATAACGGCTACATTCGGGATTTTCAAGATTTTAACAGAATTTTTAACGGATTTTATTTTATTTGAAAATTTGTCAAAAGCGTTCCAAATGGTGGAGGGTATTCAAAGATCGGCGGGGCTCAACTTACTGCTTTTTTACTTGTTATTTCTAAAACATGTAAAATTGGTGGTGCTTCCTTTCTTTTAATTATTTTAATGGGGGACAAATTGGTTTGTTTTTGACAAATCAGCTGATTAGTTGCAAGTTTCTGTAGAAATACCGTCTGTTTACTTTTCGCATATTCCTTGCAAAAGAGAATAAAACTACCTTACTCTCTCAGAAAGATGTCGCTGGACAATTCCTGCAGGAAAAGTAACCGGACACACTTATATTACGTTTGTAGGTCTGATAGTCGTTAAAAATCCTCCTAAAACAACTTAGCTTATATTTCTTTTGAGTATTTATTCTTTGATTTATTTTTATTATTTTATTTTTTAACATGTTCATAGATTTTTAAATGTTTTTTTTTTGCATTTCTCCGCAAATGCATTTTTGTTTGTCTTTGTAATGGCTTTGAATTTGAATATTTATTTTCAAGTTAAATTTTAATTATTTTTCTATTAAAATGCTTAATATAAATTTATGATTTCATTTTTTTTCTTTAACTTTTTAGAAAGTAAAAAATCGCACACTAAATTAAGACAGTACAATTCAAGTTGATGAGTTCGAGTTTTTTGTTATTTTTTCTTCGTTTTTTTTTTGTTTGGTTTTGTAAAGAAGGCTTTTCAGGTGGATTTGAAAATTGTTTCAAATTTCCGTACAAAGAATAATGAAATGAAATGACGATCTAATTTTTATCAGTACAAAATTATGAAGAGAAAAATAAACTAAATATTTTGAATACAGACAAGATACGTTTATTAAGCTAAGTTTTCTAGTTTTTTTTTGTTCTTCCTTTTTGCGCCTTTGCAATAAATTAAATTTCCAATATTTATTGTTACGGCTTATTTTCAGAAAAATTCTCGGTATTTTATTTACTCGCCTTGGTTTGAATAATAATTATACAGTTTTTTATCTTTTAGTTCAGAGAGTGCTTGTAGATTATTTTTTATATTTAAGTTATTTTTTTTTTAATTTTTTACTTAGAAAAGTCATTTGGTTTTGAGAATTACTTACTATCAATTAGTAATAAATTTTAATGTTTTTGTTTTTTTTTTTTTCTTAATAAATTTTACAAAGTGCACATTTTTTATGATTTTTTCTTAAGTGAAAGATTTTGGTATTTATTTGTGATTTTATATTAGTTATTTTTAAGGATGTTTTTAGGTTAAATACATACATGTTTTTTTTCGAAAACTTGGGTCTCGGCAGAGCCACAAAATTTAGTGAAATAAATTCTATGTAGTCAAATAAATTTGGAAATCTTTTGTAATTTTAGAAGAAAATGTTCCATTAAAATACTAGAAAATCCTTCCATAATGGATTTTATTGGGCCGTTCCCCTAGAGTTTTAATCGCACTTGGCTCCAGCACAAACTTTATAGAAAAAAACTAGGGGGTTTAGACCACATATTATTCATTGCAAGGAATGCAGAGCGTAGGATATAGTAACAAACTGTTCAACGATTTAAACAAATTACGAAACTACAGGAAAGTAATTACTGTAGTCCTTGTTGGGGTATGCAACCTTACAAGCGTCTCCTAGACTGCAACATTATAGGCTACATTTTGCTCTTTCAACTCCTGATTGTCTTTAATTTTTTTTTTCAACAATCTTAATAACTGGAGGTAGATTTGATTCACCATATACCTGCATCTATGGCTAAACAGCCATATAATACTCAAAGCCAGGTTTCATTATGGGTATTCTAATATTGTACTCCTATGTGGTGGACCATGGTTAGAATTTTGAGAGTTCACTAGTCTTCGTTTCAATGTTGCTGCTTCTCGCTATATAACTCAGTGTCCAATAATAAGACCAAATTTCCAAACAGAGGCAGGGTGAATGAACGTGAAAGGGTTTAAACCCTACTGATCTCAGAGTGAGGAAATTGAAAGTGAAGGTCAACCATACGCTGGGGGTAGGTACTCGCAAAAGCCACCCACATAGTTACCGAAGCCTAAAAAATGGGCGTGATGATACCGCTACTGAAGCCAGACAAGGATGCCAGCCCAGGGTAGTCATACAGTCCAATTTCGCTTTTGTCGCCACCAGTAGCGAATACTATCCTTCTTCGTCAAGGACGTAACCACAACATACCGTGCAATGGGAAAGTAGTAGTCAACCGCCCACACTGTTTGAGGATGTCGAGAAAATTTCTCTTCAGTCTAGTTTGAAACGTTGGAAAATAAACTGTACATCAGTACGTCAGACGTTCGTGGAGTTTCAAAACAAGAATCTGGCACAGTGAAACAGGGAGTTCCTCAAGGTGGGTATCGTCTCCCTAGTTGTTTAACACCTACCTTTCCAGAATTCCGCGTCCTCCAGGAATAGAGACCATACAGTATGCAGATGATTGCTCGATTATGGCGCCGGGTCCTGTCCTCGATGGCTTGTGAATCAGGCTGAAAACCTATCTCGCAAAGGTTGCCTCCTTCTTGCATCGAGTTATATGAAAATATAATATACAAATAAATCAACGGCAACACTCTTTACAAAATGCAGTAGTAACAAGGTCCTCAAGATGCCAGTCGCCAGCAACTAGAGGCGGGGTAAGGAAACCTTTTGACCCCTTATAAAGGGCGCCCAGAGTTGCGAATTTTAGTGCTACGCAGTGGAAAAATACCGACCAACTGCAACATGTTGTCACCTCACGATGCCAGTGTACCATCTACATGAGGTGGCGAAAGAGTTCTTCCCAAAACTAAGCATGTATTGCGATGGATAGGCAACCTCTGTCCATACAAGTAAGGTGAAATCTTCTTGATTTAGAGAGAGGTGCAGAGAGAGAGAGAGTGCCTGAATAGTATAACATTAACGCAGTCACACTAGAATGCAGAAAAAATATCATACAAGAAGATGATCCATCTTTTGTTGCAGCTAAAAAAAACGAAGGAGAATACGATATTGTCGATCGTACATAAAGGGTGAGATGAAAAAACTGCAACCAACTTCAGACTGCTGTCATTTCAAAGCCACTCGTCCGACAGCTGTTAAAATTATTCCAGTGGCAGCTCAAATATTGTTTACAAGTGTACAAATCATTTTGGTGATAATTTTCGAGAAAAAAAGTTATTCGTGATGAAATTCATGCGTGATAGTGTGATTTCTTTATATTTGGCTGGAAAACCACAAGCGGCTATCGTTAGAGCACTCCAGCATTTAAATGTGAATAAATCTTTCGTGTCTCGTACCATCACTCGTTACCGTAATGCTGGTAGCCTAGCCCGACGTCAACGAAGTGGACGGAAGAAAACAGCAACATCAACAGAAATGGTTCGAAAATAAAGAAGCGACTTGATCGAAACCCACGTTACAGTGGCCGAAAAATGGCTCGTGAGCTAAACATATCGCAATATTCCATTCGGCAAATATTGAAAAATGAGCTCGGGGTAAAGCCATTGAAATTCCAAAAAGTGCCAGACTTACACCGCAACATAAAAAAATAAACTCAAAAGAGCTAAAGAATGGCCGAAAGTGGCGAACTGCCGAATTTGGTTTTTTTCCGATGAGAAAACATTCGTTGTTGTTACTTGCCAAAGGGGTCTGCTGAAAATGTGCACCTTCGGTTGGCCACCAGAACTCAAGCGCCGGTCATGGTGATGGCGTGGGGCGCCATAACAGCCGATGATCGCTCTCCGCTCATATTAATCGACCGTGGCATCAAAATAAATGCCGAATATTATCGAGAAAATATTCTGGACATTCCAACAGGACTCAGCACCATCGCACTCAGCACGCGCCACCCAAGAATGGTTACAAAATGAGGATCCTCGCTTCATTTCCAGCGCACAATGGCCACCAATATCTCCGGATACCAACCCGTTGGACTATTGTGTCTGGAGTATTTTGAAAAACAAGGATAGCACTAAAAAATACCAAAGTGTCAATCACTTAAAGCAAGCGCTTCGCCGGGAATGGGCCAAAATACCGCAAAACAACATTCGGGTAGCGTGTGACGGTTTCATTGGCCGTTTAAAGGCCATAGTTCGTGCCAATCTTGACCTGTTCAAACAAATCTAAACTTATTCTAAAATTTGGCGCTATTTCCGACATTTTTTGATTTCATTCAATAAAATTTAAAAAAAAAATTTAAAAATTATGGCGTTTGACTTTGTTGAATTATTTTATCTCACCCTGTAGTTATATTTATATTATAAATATGTCAGGTGTGAAATTGATAATATCGGCCAAATCTTTCGTACAACTTCTCATCAAACAATCAAACCAGGACCATGCCGTCCTAATGGATAGATGGTGAGGAAAAGGAGAAAACGCGCAAAATACTTGTTCGTACACTGGCAATTTTTTTTTTAAATTGAATATTGCTAGAAGATACGTTAAAACGCTATAACGACATTGAAACTCAACGAGCCTTCTTTATATACACTGACTACAATCTACATATTTTACTTCTCCCAAAAGCACCGCGTTAGCACTAACTTCTTTACTTTTTATTTGGACTTAAAGGGACACGCCGGCGTATTGAACGTCTTGGTGTTTGAACCAAACAACAACCGTCAATATTACCCTCCTGAGAAATATTCAAATTCAAATATTTTATCCATTTCCATTTACATTTTTCCCGTTTAAAGGGACACACCGGTGTATTGAACTTCTCGGAGTTCGAACCAAGCAACAACCGTCAATATTACCCTCCTGAGAAATATTCAAATTATACAATGTCATTTGCAACAGGTATGGCCATGTGCTGCTTTCTATTTCCCATCGACTTAGTTTAGAATTGTAAAAACATCTCTTGATGTATTTCTTCTTCTGATTTCAACATCATTAAATTAGGCAAATTTTGACTGAGAGTGACTTTATTCATAATTCCATATTTTTGTTTTCATTTTAATTAAAATTAGTAAAGTTTATGTTTTCAAATCGTATTATTATTTTTTTTGTTTTGTTTGATGTCGGTAGAGAAAAACGTTGCATGTATTTTTTTAGTGTTTTGTTTCTGATGTTATTATAATGCATAAGTTCGTTTATTGCTGATAGTTGTTGTTGATTCATTTTAAATGGTAAATGTAATGTTGTATATTCATTATTTTTGAGATGTTTTTATTTCTGGGTAATACTCCTTATGGAAGTTAATGTTGTTTGTATTGTTTGTTTTTGTTTTGTTTAAATAAAGTAAATTACTGCACATTATGTTGTTGTTATCATTATATTAAGCTGAGATTTTTAAATTAAGTTTATTTTTTTGGTAGTTTCATAATTAAACGTTTTTGTTTTATTTATTTGGATTCGTTTTTATTTTATGCTTAGGAAATCATCATAAAAACTTTAACAAACTTAACCTTAAAAAAGAGCAAAAATAAACAAAATTTAAACAAAATAAATTAAGTTTTAAAAAATATTTTTTTTTATTATTTTTTGAGAAACTTTGGATAAGAAAGGGGAATAGGGGTTGAAATATGGAGGATAGGAAGAAAAGGATTAGGTTATTGTTTAAATGGAAACAAAAAATTGCAATTTAAATTCGAAAAACAAATGAAATTCGAAGAATCTACGGGGTGAGTTTTTCTTTATATTGAAATTTGACATTGGAGATTTTATATTAATGTAAAAAAAGAAAATTTGATTTGTGTTTTTAATTTTTGCTAATTTGAATTTGATTTTTTTGGTTTGTTTTCTTTTTTCTTTTTGTTATTTTATAAATATAAATTTGTTAATAATTGTGATAATTTTTTTATTAATTTTAACTTTATCTCTTAGCAAAAAAAATACAATTAAAAATATATGTATATATGTAAATATTAGTTAAGTATATAATTTTCTTTATGAAAAATGGAGAAGAGCGACACTTCTTTGCATTTGTTTTTTTTTTTTTTTCTCTTGATAATGTGATGATGGATTGGTGTTAAGAGAGAGATAGAGAGGAAACTTGAAAGATTGAAGAGAGAAATTCGGTGATGTTGTTAAGGGACGTTTTGAGGAGCTGGTGGTGGTTGTGGTGTATAAAGGGTTTCAGAAGAGTTTTTTTGTGGTTTTAATTTTTTTGTTTGTTTGTTTTAAGTAAATGTTTTTTTTTTTTAATATATAAAAGCGACGTTTTGCTTAATAGAATTTAAACGTCAACAACCATTTTTTTGTGTATATCTGTGTTACCGACCACCGAACAGAATTCATCAAATGAAATTTTACCATCCTCATCCTTATCGGCAAAACAAATTGTTTTATCCACAATCTGTTGCAGTTGCGTATCCTTGAGATTATTGCCTACCATCATTTTTAAAACCTACAACAACGTAAAAGAAAAAGGTTTAATTGTTTGCAAATTAAATTTGCTTTCTAAAGTATCATCAAGCTTACCTGAAACAGTTCACCATTTGATATGTATCCATCATTGTCCATATCATATATACGAAATGCAAAGCGCAATTTGGATAATTTGTCGCCTTTAACGCTAAATTGTGATACACCTTGTATGAATTCCTTAAAATCTACTTCTCCATTACCGTCCGCATCGAAAATATCAATGACACGCTGAACCAGGGGATTTTGTTGCAGTTCTGGCAATGACATAAATTCATCCACGCTCAAGGCACCGGAATTATCCAAATCAAGTTTACGAAAACGTTTGCCCAAACGACGAATCTCATCGGCATCGACTGAAAGAAAGAACGAGATAAATAACATGTTGCACAACACATGTTACACAATTAGAACATGCCAAACAAAAAAATATATTTGTCCAAGAAACATCATTATAACAAAATAAAATCTTGATTTTCCAATATGTCATCTTCTTGTAAATGCTATAAATGAATAATAACACTGGGATACAAAACTTCAAAAAAAAAAAACAAGTTAAAAAGTATCAGTCGGGTTTGCCGATAGATGTGTGGGGTGATATGAAAAAACTACAAAACAAGCGTACAAAAGCATTTTGGCGAAAATTTTCCAGAAAAAAAGTTATTTGTGATGGAATTCAAGCGTAATAGTGTGATTTCTTTAAATTTGGCTAGAAAACAACAAGTGACTATCGTTAGAGCAGTCCAGCATTTAAATGTGAATACATCTCTTGTGCTCGAGGTAAAGCCATTAAAATTCCAAAAAGTGCAAGAAGGAAGGAAAATAGACTCAAACGAGCTATAAAATAATTGCTTCGCTTGGCCGAAAGTGGTGAACTGCCGAATTTGGTTTTCTCCAATGAGAAAACATTCGTTGTTTAGCAATTTGTAAACAAACAAATTGTTCGATTAAATCTATCTTGACTTGTGTTATGATTATTCAAACTGTTGACCTTCTACGAAGTATGTTCCAAATTAATGGGTGAATATTGTTCATTTTTTTTTTGAAAATTTTAAACTTTATCAGAAGGAGTGGACCAATATTGCCCATCTCCGAACTCGATCTATGTTTGACAAAAATATTACGATGTACAAAGTTTAGACCAAATGGGATACTCCCTTCGAAAGTTATCGTGCGCATCAGCCAGCCAGATCGACTCCAAATGTCCCGAAACGGATTTGGTCTAAACCGTTACTAGGCACGTTTTGCCCGTATCAAATAACATATACCCTCTCTAGCCATATGGCTTCGAAATGACCCAGAAAAACCGTAGCTATATTCGTCATCTGTGGGCTCCCACAAACTAGAATTGGAACATTAGAGCAAGTGTGTATTTTTGCTGTCGCACACTGTTTACATGGAGGTTTCGATCGAATATTTTTAATGCACTGTAGAATGACTGTATATGCTTTAATCCTGTGTTTATAACATTATGATTTAAAGGAGTATTAGTGCTTTAATTTGAAAAATGTTGAAAACTTTTTCGAAGGACGTTTGGAGTCGATCATCTCAAATAGAGTACACCGTCCGTTCCAAACTTTGCAAATCGTAATATTTTTGTCAAACTTAGACTGTTGTCGAAGATACATACATTTTCGAACAAATTGTAAATCAGAGGTGGTGGTTTTAGACGAACTTAAGGTAGTCTTTACAGACGAGATAAATGGAGAGTCTTTATTGACAAACTGAGAGGAGTTATTATACACCATCAGCCTACTCGCAGTTTCGCCATTCCAAAGTTCAATCGGAGCAATGAGCATGCATTTATTTAATGGATATAGAGTGTATGCATTTTAACTGTCTCCTGAACAGCAACGTCAACCGCAGTATCTTACGCCACATTTGAAACTCAATTGCAACGGATTCTAAGTTAAGATTGATGAAGCAATGGAATTTATAAATCGAAAGAATATTTTGATCGTAGATGTGTAGAAAACCAAACTCAATTAAAATTGCAACCTACAACGTTTTAATGGTTACAACATATTGAGAAAGGATCGCACCAGAAGTGGAGATGGTGGATTAGCGTTCCTCTTACACTATCCTGTCAATACAGACATATCTCGTTTGAGCAAGTCTCATAAAATGTATGGGAGTAGAAATCAAGTAAGGACGCCCCCATCCGAATAAAAGAAAACTGTCACAGTCACAGAGTTTGAAAGCCACTCTTTCTCTAACTATGGGAGAACTCACTGGCCAGGAGTTCAACAGCCTTCGCTTTAGAGGACTGCCTAACCTTATGACTTGCAGATAACAGATCACTGTCCAACCCTTCCCATATTCGGGTAGCAGAAAGCTAGCTATTATACCTACTAGATGCATATCCGAAATAAGACATTTTCCAGCAGAGTGGATGAGCGTCATGAGTTCCGCTTGTATTGACAGTGGAAGGCAACCGGTTTGTACAGGAGCACAAAATATAAAATGGCTAGACCATCTGACGTTTTGCCACATTGGAAACTATATGAGTAAACTAATAATGATAGGTCACTCTCGACTCCTGGGAAAAGGTATGAAGAAACCCAATCAAATTTAACGACATAATGTTGACTGATCCGAAAAGGTACGCTCACCACTTTGATCGCCAATTGGTCGAACACCCCGTGATAGATATGGCGAACGAAGAGTACTACGACGTATAAGATCACTTTCCGCCGAAGATATACAATCACAGTTTGTCTGTCAATTTTGCGAGTATCATAAGAAACGCTAAGTCACCCAAAGCGTTTGTTTCGGATAAAATCTTTATGGTAATGTTGAAACACCTGTCGCTATTCACGTACATCGTTCCCGAATAATTGGACTGGGTGGTCCCGCTGCTAGAGATGGGCAAATACGCCTGCAGTTAAGTACCAGACCAAACTCTCTACCTGTCGCTAATCACCCACATCCTTCCCAAAGAAAAGGGCTGGATGGTCCCGCTACTAAGGATGGGCAAGGATGCGAGCAAAGGCACCAATAAAGGCCAATTTTGCTTTTGTTGCCCGTTGCAAAGATTCTTGGGACAGTATTAGACGAAACAACATGCTGCCTTCTCATGACATTGTTGGACCATCTTCAGGGTGACATAAAAACTGCAACAAAGTCAAACGCCATAATTTTTACATTTTTTTAATTAAAGTTTAGATTTGTTCGAATTGGTCATCTTTGTCACGAATTGTGGCCTTCAAACGGCCAATGAAACCGTTACACACTTCCCAAATATTGCCTTGCGGTATTTTGACCCATTCCCGGCGAATCGCTTGCTTGAGGAGATCGACACTTTGGCATTTTTTTGGTGCCAACCTTGCTTTCCAAAATACTCCAAACACAATAGTCCAACGGATTGGTATCCGGAGATTTTGGTCACAAAGGTCTACGGCCAAAATGTTTGCTTGCCCAAGGCTTTATTACACCCTCCAGAATATTTTCGCGATAATATTCGACATTTATTGTGATTCTACGGTCGATTAATACGAGCGGAGAGCGACCATCGGTTGTTATGGCGGCCCACAGCAGCGCTTGAGTTCTGGTGGCCAACCGAACGTCCATATTTTCATCTGACCTCTTTGTTTGTTTACAAACTGCTGCACAACGAATGTTTTCTCATTGGAGAAAACCAAATTCGGCAGTTCACAACTTTCCGCCAAGCGAAGCAACTCTTGAGCTCTTTTGTGTCTAATTTCTTTCCGTTGCAGTGTAAGTTCTTGCACTTTTTTGGAATTTCAATGGCTTTACCCCGTGCTCATTGACAGTTTGTTGTTACAGACCCATGTCAAGTATAACCGTGGTGATATATGATCACTTCATAGACGACCTAAAATCGCAGTATGTCCAAAGGATTATCTGCCTTTAAGTTCTCTGAGTCTATGGGCGCATCAGATTCACTCTTTCTCTACAAATGGACTTAAATAATTTAAATGAAATTGGATATCCAATGCATCTGTGAGCAATAAGCGCCGTAGCTCTGTGAACTTTATGGCTGATTTCCCTAACCACTAGAGCTCCATAGATGATAATCGTTCGCACAATTCATTCAAATATCCAATTTCATTATAAGCAGTTTTAGGCCCCAACTTTTTCCTATAGATTTCTTGCAAGAGTAATGTGCAATTAAGCCCCTCTTCGTTCCTCATTATTTCTCTTCCAGTCATTGAGCTTACAATTGGCCTAATTGAAGAACACTACAGGATTGGAACTTTAATTTCAAAAAAGATTGACCGTGACGCAGTAGGCTTTTGCAGACGTCTACTTATACGCTGTGTTCTATGTTTCACATTTTTTTGTGACATGGAAAATCTAAAGTCTGATAGATTCTAAAAACATTAACAACAAACATGAATCTTCGCAAATTCTATTGAAGGTAAAAACATAAATTTTCATGGAGGGGAGTAAAGTAGTGTTCCATATATAAGATAGTTTAAAAAAGTGCATAACAAAATATAGACACATGCCATTCTAATGCTTCAATGCGCTAAGAGCGGCAGACGGGAGAAAGAATGGCAATTAACTTGAAATAGATATACACAGAGACGAAATTTTGACAATCTTTCATAGAGAAAAGAATGACAGCAAGTGAATATGAATACACATATGCAGATATAGAATATTATTTTGACAATCTAGCTAGTCAATGTCCCATGTCCACAAAAATTAAAAGAAAACACGAAAAGTATTTTCTTTTCTTTTTTATTCTATATATAGATGATGTTCAATGTCTAGCAACAATGCCAACAATGAATGCTGCTTAAACGGTGCTAGTAATGTGTCAGTATTTGTCATATAGTTAATATGTTTTTGAGATTTTTCTTCTACAAATCAAAAAGAAAAACAAGAACGTTGTAGTACTCGGCAACAACAAATAATATGGAGCATAAAGAAGAATTTTAAAATTCATTCATAAAATATATGGAGGTTCTTTTTTTTTTTTTTTTGTTGCTAGTATGTCTTTAGTAATTTTGTTTATATTATAGCCATCACATGATACACCTGTGGCTTTAGTTATGATGCCTAGCTTTTATTATAAATAACACTTTGCAACACATGTTCGAACCCAAAATATTTCAAGGATTTGATGAGAAAATCTGAACCTCAATATAAGAAAATCGGTGTTTCTCTTTTATTGGGGCTATACAAGGAGGTGGACTTTTGCTTACAACTTTTTGTGAGCATTTCAAAAAACCCAACATGCCAATTATAGATATTTTCGTGCACACAACTCCTAGGATAACATTCATTCCGTAATTGATAAAATCACCTGGGACTGCATCGATATGAATGCTACTCACATCTGTCTGATAGGCATATTGATCCAGAGGCTCTTTTAGGCTTTAGATCATGTTGGTCTTTCCTGATACCCCTAGTTGGGGGAATTTTATCCACCATATGATGGATAACACCCAAGCAGGTAATGCAATGAAAACAAGTGATTTTGACATATGAGCAGAACTCACGTAGATGGTCCACTGGAGTCTTGAGAGACCTATAGCAATATAAGTGGTCAAAAAGTTCTCTTTATCCGCAGTCCAAGTAAGACCTTGTTTCTAATTTTTGAATTTATCAGATAGAACAAGCAGACACAATTCTTTACAATCTCAATGCCATCTTTTTCGATCTCCGAAGTTTGGACTTTCTGATTCGAAATTCCACATTCAACTGGAGTCTACAAATATGCAACATACATTTTTGATAAGTTTGGTTTAGTCTTCGACTAATATGTCTAGGTAAGGGGTGCAATGTTGTTGGGAACGGAATCCGTGTTGAATGCTGATATAGTCTCCTCAAATTATGGGGACTTTTCCCTCAAAAGCCTCAAAAGACTTCGGTACTGCCGACAAATCCCAGCGTAAACAGATGTGTCAACATAACCATTGAGATTCCATCCGGTTCAACGCATTGGATGACTAAGCGTTTCGTACAAAATCACTCTTTGTAAACCGTTCCTGGGCAGGAATTGGTCTTATACGACGTAGTACTTTTCGTTTCATTCTATCATTTTCGGGATGTCCGACAAATTAGCGATTAATCGGTTCCAATGTTGGCACACTTTAAGTGGGCTAACTTCTTATTTCTCTTAGGATAATTCACTGACCCTGGGTCAGTAGGGTTGCAATGGCGGAGCTCAACACGCTCATTCGCTATTTCCTCCGCCTCTACGCCTATGGCTAAGGAAAGTGAGACACACTTCAAGTAGGCTACCTTCTTGTTTCTTTTATGACGATTCACTGACCCTGGGTCAGTAGGGTTGCAACGGCGGAGCTCAACACGCTCATTCGCTCTCTACGGCTATGGTTAAGGAAAGTGTACTGTTCAAGGGAAATATCTGCTTATGCAGACAATTACTGAGATATTGCCCCAACCAAGAGAAAATGCGGGCTACCAAGCAAAGTCATCTTCCAGACCTGTTGACATTAGGGTTAAATCTGTGTCATGTAGTGGTGATTAGTGTATAAATATGTCTTCGAAACGCAGCTCTAATAATTAAAAAAATGAATGAACAGAATAGATTTCATCCAGATGTGTCTTCTCTGGGATTTGTAACTTTCCGTCTGCTCGATAAACTGATGGTTAAAATAACTGTTGTGAATGTGGATTCGTGAACAATCAAACTGCAGAAAATCCATTGAAATCACACACATACAATACGCTAGATAAAATTCAACTGCAAAACCGAGACTATCAGGAGTTTCTACACTTCAGAATGTACCCCTGATATGTTGAATCCCCAAACAAAGTCAAAGTGAGAATATTCCAAATCGAAAAACAAACAAATGTATGTTTAGCGAAAGATTTCTCAATCATCTGCTACAATAACAGAGCACCCATGGAGACATTTAAAGGGTTATGATTTTCCCTCCCACCACAAGATTGGAACCTTCTTTTGTCGATCTAGTTTTAAGGGAAAACAACTGCTAAAAAGAAAGTTACTCGATTCGAATTCATGCTTCGAAAAATATGTTTTGTAAGTAGTCTACAACGAATTGCATTGGAAATGAAGATATGAACATCAATTTTAACGCCTTAAAATATCTGTTTTGACCTTCGATGAGTACATTTTGAAAACAAAACTTTTGTTTGTGTTTCAATATTGGTCTTGTTTTGTATAATGTAATAGAAAAATGTGATCTACATTACTAAAATAAAATATGTTGATTAATATTTACAAAATATATATGACGACAGAAATACTTACAGTTGGAGCACATCTCCATGGGCAGAGAAGTTTCATTTCCCTGAAAAGAAGAAAAATATTATATTTATATATACATTTGAAAGATTTTTGCAAACAAAGTTAATGTCTAAGATTTTTGTCATAATCAACCAGCCGTAGACAGATTCAAAGCTTTAAAATCCATTTGAATAAATCTGAAAAGTGGAACAAGCGAGAATAGGCAATAGAAGGGATACTCTATAAAATTAAAACAATCCATATCTTTTGGTTGTTCATTTTTATGTTGGCTACAGACAGTCTACTCGATAAAATAGACGTTCTTGCACTTATTTTTTTCTATTAGCACATGGCGACGTTTACAAACACCTGCGCATACATTCATAAAATAGGCAACAAATATCAAAGACAAGAAATGGGGGAAGAGCATGTAGAAGTAACAACATTATTGGCACCTATTGACAATTGGCAAATAATTAAATTACTGTTTCACAGTCGTACCTATGTCAGAAATCAGAGGGGTAGTAAGAAGGCAAATGATGTAAAATACTGAGTAATGCGGATTTGGAGGATAATTTGATATATTTGTTTCATTTACGTGCACAAATTTTCAAAATATGAATAAGATTCCATCTGTGGGCGATGAAGCGGAAAGTGTTGAAGAGTCCTGGGAAATATTTCGTTCTTCGAAGTTTTTATAGATGAACTGAAGATAGTGCTAAAGGAAGTAGTATCTCTTCAGAGATACTTGCTGAAGCAAGTCTTTACTGATAGGCTAAAGCAAATCATATGTACGGACTAAAGTAATTCATTTTATACGGGTGAAGCATGTTTTCTTTACACATTCTGAGGCAAGTCGTTTAGCTGTCTTTACAGATGACTTAAAGGGAATCTTTACAGACAGACGAGCTGAAGGGAGCATTTTTAGCCTGTAATATCTTTACAGAGGACCTGAAGGCCAGGGAGCTTTTAATGAAAAGTGGGTCTTTATAGCCGAATAGAGTAGTATTCTTATTAAAAAAAATTGTAGGCAAACTGAAGGGAATCTTGCAGACAAGCTGAGGGAACTCTCTACAGGTGAAGTAAGGTTAGTCTTTACAAACGTTCTGAGTGGATCCTTTGCAGACGGACTGAGGGGAAGGAAGAAGGCGAGCTGAAAGAAATCTTTATAACGACCCACGAAGAGTCCTTGCAGACGACCTAAGGTGAGCTCTTATAGACAAGGTGAGGGGTTTTTATAGACGAACTATTTATGAGGACGCCCTTTAATCAAACAAATGAACAACATTTGGTGAAAACCAAAGGCTTGAATGGAGTCAGAAAATGGAAACAGAACGAACACAACTGTATGAGCTGATACAACAACAAAACATTTGGTAAAATGAATTCTGAGTTGCTGGACTGGGCAATATGGGGGGTCCTGATTCCAATAATATAATTTTCCTGAGGTCGAAATTAAAAAAAAAAAAAACGACTACAAAATAAAATAAAAAGTAATAGTCGTTGCGGTGCACTTAGCACCTCCAGAGGTAAACAATGCGGCTCCGCTATGGTCAGCCAACGCTAGTGCTACGCCGTGGAAAAATATTCAGTTCTGCCAGAATGCCTCCCTTAAAACCGCAACAGGGTGCCTCCTTATGACACCCGTCGACCACCTACATGAGGAGTCGAAGGGTTAACCGTTGCGACATCATAATAAAATGCTGTCAATAGATGTTTGGGTCTTACAGACAGACCATCTTGTGGATAGGCAACCTCCTTCCAGGCACGTAAGGAAAGACCTTCATCATCTAGAGAAAGGTACAGGTACAGGTATAAGAGAGAGCCTCTAGATCAACAGGCCCATCAAGCGAGGCTGGATAGTATTCACACTAACGCGGTCTCAGAAGTCATAAAGGACATAGAGTGAATACTGTACTAGGATACCATCCCCTCCCATCGCAGCTTAGAGCGACAGCTGCCCCGACAAACCCGAGTAGTTTTGGCTCAGTTAAGATCCCTATTGAGCCCATATTGACAGCGATGTGCAGAACATCTGCACTCCAGTCTCGTTGTGGACCCAACCCGTACAGTCTGCATCCTTTTTGAAACTGGACCCAGAGGCAGTACCCGATTGGGAGGAGTCAGAACGAAAACAGCTGAACTGTTACAACATTTGGACAGATTTTAACATCGACTTCGAGGTAAATTTCCTTGTTGTCAGGTCCTCTAGAGGTTCACAAAATGAATAGAACTACCGTAACTGTAGGGAGACCCATATCTAGGAAATTCGGGCAACTTTTAGGAAAAATATATTAGTTTGTAATCAGGATCACAAGAGCTACAGGTGGTGAAGTTTACAAAATGCTCAATTAACATTAGGCTTTAAAATTAAACTATTTACCCCTACAGCGAAAATTGAAAATCAAAAACCAAAATGAAAAATGTTGTTTGATAAAATGTTTCAAGTCCTTGAAGAAAAATACAATTTATTTCTTTAAGATCAACATTCCCCATCAAAAAGGTAGGTTGCTCATGTTCCTTACAAAAAAACATGACCTATTTACATGCTACGGGTTACATTCAAGAATGTTCACCACCCAAGCAACATTAAAATTTGAAGATAGTTAGTGTAAAAAAAAAAAACAATTATTCTTAAAGGGGTGTGTATGCGATTGCGACACAATTGTATGCGATGGGGCCACTATAGATTTTTTGCTTTGGCTGGTCTCTTTCATTGCAATGTAGAATCAAAGGTGGCAGGTGGTGATGGTGGTTGCTTGTGGCTGACTGACTGTTTGGCGATTGTATTATTTCTATTCCTACATTTATTGGCCTTTTCTTGTGCTCGCCCTCACCCTCCCCCGCCATCGCTCTAAAATGTATGGTGAAGGCCTCATTGGGGCAATGGGACAGAGAAGGTCTTTCTTTTGTTTCGTGGTATATCATATGGTCTGCTCTCGTTTCGTTAAGTCGTCTCGTAAAACAACACATGAATTAACAATAAAAAGACAAGAGAAGAAATTTATTTACCATTTTGTTTGTTGCTTAAGTATCTGCGAAATATATATAGAAAAAGTTACGATATATATTTTCCTATTTTCTTTTATGCTTTTATTATTTTCTTATTGCAATGAAATTTCACTTTTTCGGTCACACTTTCTTCCTAAAAGTAGCGCTCCTCTTTATTTTTGCTCAGCAAAAAACAGCAGCAACACCAAAAATACACTTTCTGTCGTTTCTTCTTCTTTGGCTAGTTCTCTTTTTTATTTTTTCGTTATTCGCACTTAATTTCAATCACTTGCAATTTATTTTCAATCGATTTTTCTTTTTCTATATAGAATTCTTTTCTCTACAATATATTATCCGTTAGCTAAAGTTTTTATCACAACTAAATTTGTTGAATTGTAGCGTTTTATTTTTTTGCAAATTCCAATCAGAATATTTTTTTTTCCTTTTTTTGGGGCTCTTGGTGTCTTTTTCCGTTCATATACACAAAATTAGGGATATGTAAGTTCACACTGGACAAATCGATTGTTGGAATCGATAGATGGGAATATATCGATATTTTTCCGTTACTAATTTGAATTGGCCGTATTGATCATTTGTATATTGGTCTGTTCCACAAATGAATAAAAATGTAAAAGTTTTTACCTCAAAAACTGAGTTCCCCTTTATTTCTTGCAAGTACTGGAACAGAGCATATGATAATTTAGAAATTAGACACCACAAGTACTAGTAACCCTGTATGAAGGCTGGGGTTATATGTCTCAAAGTCACAACCTTTGAAGGCTTAAGGTGAGAATACATAAAAGCATGGTACAATGAAGAGAAGGTAGGTCAACTTTGAAAAAATTGCAAGTATAGAGGCCTACCTGTTTGGCTTGTAATGTCGGAATTAGTATCAAAACAATAAAAAATCAAACAACTTGTTGCATTTATTTAAAAAAAATTGAAAACCGCGATAACTGAATGAAAGGTCAACACTTCTTTTCAAAATCGTGTACTATATATCTCTAAAGGATTATTTCGCTACAAAAACTCTAGATTTTGACATTTTGAAAACATCCGAATTTGAATGTTTTCTGAACAATTTTTTTGTTATTAAAAAGAAAACACATACATAAACAAATAAAAATGACATATTAAGCCAAGAAAATAAAAAAATTAAAACCATATGGTATCATAGCCCTACCTTGATATCATTGTACCATGCATAAAAGCTTTTTTGACTGACTTAAGTCATTGGCTGCTTGCTTCTTCGCAAAACAAGAATGGAGCTTAGGGCAAGCAAGCATAGTAGAAGAATACAGGTGGTCGCATCAATTTTGAAATTGGAAATTTTTAATGAAAATTTATTCAAAATTGTAAAAAAAAATTTTAAAATATTATTATACCTTCCGATAAGTGTCGTATAAGAAAACTTATACAAATCTACTTATTTTTGAAAAAAATACAAATTTTGACGCACGTTCCCAACGTTGATACATCTACATATATTCTTCTACCATGGTGCGAAAGTTAACTAAGTTAACCCAAAATGCCTTTGATTAACTACGAAGAAGGCGCTGATGACTTAAATCAGCAACAAAATTCTCTTAAGGTACCTGTACCATGGTAAAATTAAGAAGGTAAAGTCATTTCAAATAAGCATTTCCATCTTTGCATTTTCTGTATCTTTACATTGCTGGTTCCCATCTCTGATTTTTGTATGCACAATATATTTATAAATAAATATTTCGACAATGAGATGTTGTCAAATGAATAATTTTCAAAAAAAAAAAAATTGTAAACATATGATTGCATGACTTTACCTTCTTAATTCTACCATGACTTGTACCTTAAGTCAGTAGTTCTTCACCATTGACATTTCTTAGGAGGAATTGTAAAATGTGAAAAAAGTAAGTCATACGACGACGCCAACCGCTTTATGTATCTCAATTTATAAAGCTAAAAACTAAGCGGCTTGAGCTAAAACAACAGTCACAGGGAAACGAATAGTATCTTCTAATTCGTCTTATCGTATTTGTTGTTTTATCGATAATAAATAACGCGTAAAATTGTTGAACACGTTTAGACCTAGTAAGTATTTTTGGTTACCCATAGCTCAGTAAGAAAGGTTGTTCAACCTCAAAGAAACTAGAAAATGCAACTCTGTGCTGGAGTCTTATAGTGTCAAATAGACTTTTAAATATTTAACAGTTGGTTTTGTTTATTTTTAACAGAATTCTTATGTTGTGGAAAACCCGCGAAACAACAGCGGAATTTTGGGGTTATTCCATAAGATTTAATCTAAAATAGTAGAACAATACAGTTTTATCCTAAAACCCTAAAAAACGTCAAAAATATGCATTTAATTTGCAACCGAATTTGAAATAATTTCGAACTATTCTATTTTTTATTCAAAACAATACACACATACAATGTGTATATGTTTTGACAGAATAAGGGCACCAAAAGAAAAAAATGTATTTGTGGGTAGGTTTGTTCTACCGTCTTTAATTGTGCCATGGTTCTACAATGTCCAGTTCTTAAACAGAGCAAAATTTTTCCGCCTGTAAATTTGTGAGGTTCGGAACGTTTTTAAATGTGTTCGGTGTGCAAAAACAAGCCCAATTTGGCGAAAAACAGAACTACGTATCCCTACTTTCTTGTTGGACTCTTATTTTGTTGTTTTCCTTATTAAACAAAAAAAAATAATTAATAAAAATCAAGCAAAAATACATCAGTAGCAAACAAAGGTCCAAACGTGTATACACAACGACAAAGCAACGATGAACGATAACAACGATTCAACGCTTCCAACATCCTTGCGTGCTACAACAGACACTACAGATAATGTTGCAATGGGAGCCGCTACTACCAATCCTACCAATATGATGATCAACAGTTATGGCAAAGAACAAATGAAAATGACTGCCAGCAGCAATGCACTGAAACAATCATTAAAATTGGAAAATTTAGAAGAATTTGATAAACTACCCTATGAAATACATCGTTATTCGTCGTTTTCCACAAATTATGTGCCAGAGTAAGTAAAAATAGACGTTTTTTTTTTGGGAAACAAATTGGGGGGTCTGGACAAATGCCAGTTTATGTTTTGCCTAAATTTGCATAATATTTTTGAAAATTTCCTTCTGATGTCTTGCTGCTGCTCTCCATCGATCGATTATATTGAGTAAAGAATACTTTTTGTTATGCAGCAGCCTTGATTTGTTTGTTATTATTTCTTCCTATTGTTATTATTGTTCTCCGTTTTATGTATGTTGCTGTTCTTTTGCAAAGCTTCTTCATATCGCGCTGAATTTTTGCAGGTTGTTAACTTTTTTTTGAATTCTTGATAGGTATCTGCGATAATATAAAAGTAAGAATAGCTGCAAATGAAAACCAGAATCAAGATAATAACAACAAAAAAGAAACGGTATTTTTAACATTTTCTTTTATATTATTTACTTGTAGGCATTTTTGTTTCAATTATTTGTTTATGAAACAAACATACAAACAATTGTCGTAAACTGCGCAGTTGGCGGCATTTTTATTACGGTAATCAGTTGTCCGCCTCCATTGTCTGCCTGCGGTTACTACAATGATGACTGGCTGAGTGGTTGTGTGTGTGTAGATTTTATATATTTAAAGGTTGAAATACATTTTGTAGAGAATCTTTAGGTGGTTGGAAATCGGGATGGGAATCATCCATTAATTCAATTTGTATGCCAAATATAATCAATCCACAATTTTCAAAAAAAAAAAAAAAAAAAAATTAATAAAATTTCAAAAGCCTTTTTCGGCCTGATAACCATAGATTTTCCAAAATCAGGATGAGCAAGGAAGTCATGGATTTCGAAAGAATATTCCCAAGTTCATCAATTTAAATATTTCTGAGACCGTCCTAAAATCTACAAAAACTTTCAAGTCCTTTTACACCTATTTGAGATTTTTTTTCTAAAAATTATTGCTCTGTTTTTGATAACTGACAATAATTTTCTTTAATGCGCCTTTAACCATTTTTTTGTTTGCAGAAATATACTTGTTGATTGTCCCAGCGATCAGTCGTCACGTTGGTCGGCTCACAACAATAATCCACCACAATATTTGACTCTGAAACTGCGAAGACCTGCCATTGTTAAGAAGATCAAATTTGGTAAATTTGAAAAGTCGCATGTGTGTAATATTAAAAAATTTCGTATCTATGGTGGTCTGGATGAGGAGCACATGATACTCTTGCTGGAGGGGTAAGTAAATAACGAAGCCCATAAAGAGTTTCTAAAGTGAAAATATTAATTCCAAACTTGTATTTAAAGAGGGCTGCGCAATGACCATATACCCGAAACCTTTAATTTACGTTGTGTTGCCAAGGATGCTACTACAAGTCTGCCAATTTTATATATAAAAATTGTACCTCTCCTGTCGTGGGGACCCACCTTTAACTATAGCATTTGGTATATTGAATTAATGGGTCAAGATGATCCAATGTATACAAGTGGTTGTTTGAAGGACTACAATAAGGTAAGGAGATGAAAAGTACTACAACTATTGAAAATTGTATTGCTCTGTTGCTCTTTTAGTTGCGTGAAGTGGAAATCATACGCTTGTGTTTGAAACATTTCCGCCAGCAAGGTTATGATACAGCTTTTAAAGCATTGCAGGATCAAACTCATGTCCAATTGGAACATCCTTTAATAAGCGAATTACATCAATGTCTCGTTATAAATGGAGATTTTGAAAAGGCTGAAAAATTCATTAGCGATTGCATTGAAGAGGGACTTATGGATGATTATTTAAATCGTCAAGATTATAAGCATGCATGGCGTCTACAACATGTCCAGGGTTTCGCCCAGCCAGGTAAAGTGGGAAAACATTTTTTTTTATCTTTGAAATGTCCTTTTTTCCATGATAATACTCTAATGTAATTACTTTTTCTACTAGGATGTATTGATTATTTGATAAGTTCAACACACAATGATTGGTCTTAACAGCACATTTCAAGATGAGACTTTGGCGATATTGAAAAATTACAATCGTCATTTGAGCAGGCAAATGACGATTCTAGAAAGAATGTTAATTTCCAAAGACTGGGTCATCTAAGAATGAGATTTTTCTATCTATTTCTAACTATTTCTAATATGACATGTGGTCAGAGGGACAACTTTTGGTTGTTGTTTTTGTTCTTGTAGCAGTAGTACATGCAAGTGTTTGCGTTCTGCTACTCTGGTTCCATCTCCAGGTTTGGAAATTCTTCTACTTTGATAGGCTATAGCCAGAGATCTTCTGGAGTGAGTTGGGTAGGTTTGGCTGTGCAATTAAAGAGGTTCACCGTATTGGTCGGCCCTGTATCACACGCCGGGCAGGCGTCACGCACATCTTCATCAAATTTTGGTCATTTGGGGTGGTGAAGTCGGCTAAAAATACGATCTTGTTTACAGGTGACAAATATATATTCTTCTCCGAAGATAATATATTCAGTGCCTGAACGGAAATTTTAGTCGTTGGTAGAGAAAATGAAT